AAAATTTAAACGCAAAAAATTGAAATATTTATCCAAATTTTTCTTGAAGGGCTATACATTATAAAATTTATTATTATAATAATTATTGAAATATTCATTGGGGTATAATTATACTTGCTTCTCTATTTAAAAAGAAAACTAAAATTTATAAACTTTTTTTATATTTTTTAAATTTAAATATAAATCGCCGGAATAAAAGATAAAAATTTTCAAAACTTTTCTCATATAAAGAGGATAATGTATCATATTGATTACAATTATGATAAAAAAAAATCACAAATGAAGTTTACTCTTATCAAATATATTATATTACCAACTAATGTATTCTGTTAAATTTTTTTATTTATTATTAATGTTTAAAATTTTATTACCGTGCAATTTAAGAACTTATAACTTTAAAGAAAATCTGACTTAAAAAATAAATAGTTTGTTTATTAACTAATAAACTGAATTTAATACCAAAATAATTCATGAATTATAGAAAATTCATATCAATAAAAACTATTTACCTAATCATAATCCGACTTAAAAAATAAATAGTTTGTTTATTAACTAATAAACTGAATTTAATACCAAAATAATTCATGAATTATAGAAAATTCATATCAATAAAAACTATTTACCTAATCATATAAAATTTATTATAATGATTATAATTATTTATAAAAATAATTTTTTTTCATCTTAATAATGATACCATAATTGAAATATTTATAATATGAATTTTATTACTAAATTTTTAGTCACGTGCATTTAATGCACGGGCATTTTTACTAGTATAAAGAAAGCCCACAACCCTCAATTGGATGGTCTGAATTGATTTCCTTTTTCATAGAATTTTCTTTACATATTTAAGAGACTTAGTGTTGTTAGAATTAGTCAATCTTAGGTTCACTGGATTCATCTCATCGGGAAGTTTTTAATTACACTTTAACTGCTTGATTTTAATTGGTTCATGTAGACTTAGATCGGATTATATTTGATGTCAATAGGTTCTTCTCGTCCAGACATTCGACTTGGTTATTAGTTTACAAAAAATCAGAGTTTGGATGGGCCATAATTTAATTTTGAAATTTTTTAATTCAAATATGCATTGTGCCTAACAAGCTGGTATTTTATGACATATCAAATCTTATTCAAAATCTATTTTATAAATACTTTGTTTATTTATTTTGGTGCAAATACTTTTACATGTTTCTTCACATTATTATACCTACAAATTTTTTCTCCTAAAAATTCTATTGCAATATTATCTACCTATCTTATAAATACTTTTTTAACTTTTCATATACATGTTAAAATCTTTCATTTTTTTTTTCATGTTTTTATATTTAATAAATATTATTCTCATCATTTCTCTAAGATAATAATTTCTCAATACATTATTCATATTTTTATCATACATCCATCTTAATAATTTATTTTTATCACAATCAACCATTAATTATTTCCTTAGTACCCATCACTTAATCCATTGAACCTAACAATACTAATTACTCTTAGAAAATTTGCATCCTTCCATTGGAGTCTCCATTTTCCGAACCACCTTTAACAACTAGTAAGGTGCTCAAGATTTTTGTCCATTTGATAGAAGATTTCTCATTTCAAATATAATTTCCCATGAAAATATCGCTTAAACCCAACGTTCCACATGTTTTCTCCAACTTTTCACAGTTTGAACAAGAAGAAATCAACTCTATTACAATTTACAGCTAATGCCAATTTGCTAAAGCAATTTCTTTACAAAATATTGAACTAACTTGAATTAATATGCTAATACAAAGACATTTTGCTATACAGAGAACTTCAGAATTTGCTTAATACTAGCAATGAATCATTGGAACACTGATGCAACATTACAGTTAATACAGGAAAATCGTCAATTACTGATGGTCTTTTCCGGCGGTAAAATTAAGATTTTCGGCGGTTTTAAAAATTCCCGGCGGTTCGCTGGTGTTTCAAAAACCGCCGGAATAAACTGCGTAGGAAAGAAATTACCACGGTATTTTTCCGGCGGTTTTCTGGCGGCTTGAAAACCGGTATATTCTGACGGTCAAACTGCAGGCTGCCGACGGTTAATTACCGGCGGCATACTGGCCGTTGAAAACACCGGAATAACCAGCAGCCAAATTGCCGGAAATTGTCTGACGCCTGACGGAAAAACTGGCGATATGTCTTGTGGTCTGTTTGCCGCCGGCAGTTTATTATGAAAAATAGCCGGTTAAACCAACGATAAAACACGATTTTCCAATAGTGAGTTTGTCAAATACTTCTAAAGTAGCTTGGCATCGTCAAATCACCATCATACATTCTCTGAATTTCCTCCCTGTATTCCACTAAGGATTCATCAGAGATGGCCGGCGTCAGCTCGACTACATCTCCCATCCTTAACTTCTGATAGGGATCTCTGACTGGCTTGTTGTTCAGTCTAGGTCTCAGCTCCTCCTTGAAAGGAAAAGAGCAAGGGCTCCATCTTGAAATACCTCGTCCAGCTTGTTCCAGTACATCCATTACTGTTGCGTTTGCTGGTAGTTCATGGACAGACATCTAAGAAAAAAGAAAGTGAGGTGTCAAGGAATGAAGCCTTGGTCAAGAATGAATATAACAAGCTGGTGTTGCAATCTATAGCATGTTAAAGATTTAGATTAATCTGAATGTGAGTTCTATTTGAAATGATAAATGGAGAGATAATCTATTTATTATTAATTACTAATTCATAAGAATGTGAACACCATTTTTGATGATTTATGCAATATTTGGAAGATCAACAGGGTTCCAGAGATGATCAGAAACACAACATGGCTGAGCCTAGAGATGGAAGAATCTAAATAGTTTAAAAGGGTGACATTTGTTTGGAAAGTAACGTTGTGAAAAACTATCCCAAACGGACCCTTAAATTAGAAGACATTAACAAAACGTAGAGAAAAATATGAGGGAGGGAGCTTGTAATATTAAGCCAGCCTGCAAAAATCATACATTTGATGAATGAGATTCAGATACCAGCTTTAAAAATGTAAAACTGGATGTAAACAGAAGAGATTCCAAGAGAATTGCAGAGACAAATATAGCCTCAGCAAAGAATTTACTTACTCGAGACGCTAATAAAATTTTTGACATTTCTACAATGTCTTAGGCTTCGTTCGCGATGACTTTTTACTACTTCTTGAAGCAACTTTTTAATACAAAATTTTAAATTTTTATAATAAAAAACTGCTTCAAAAAACAGTAAAAAAACCGTCCCAAATGAAGCCTTTAGTGTTCAATTTTGCTAAGGCCATAATAACTCTAATTTTGAACATCTTTTCAAAGGAAAAGCCCTCTACCTTTTCGTTCTCTATCATGACAATGTAGACAGGTCCATCTTTGTCACACAGCGGCGAGTAGGAGAACTGACAACCATCAGAATGAGACGGGAATGGACAGGGAGGTCTGATCAAAGTTGAGTTGCCGCCATGAGAAGAAGCTTGGTCACTGTACATTTTTTCCAACTCCCATGTAATCATCCATCTTGCCCATTCCACCATTTGAAGGACGAAGCTCGAGTGCTTGCAGTCACCTTCTTTATATCTCCAGTGGGCAGCAAATCCAAACTCTGCCTGTAGATGCATTTCCTTGGTCCGAATTTGAACTTCCAGAGGAATTAATTCACTGCTCATAACAACTGTGTGCAGAGATTGATACCTGCAAGATTCAATGGTAATATTTTTTTAGCTTTTCTTTCTGAATTTCGCAGATCTGTAGATGATGAATCTATGAAGAATTATTTTTGCCGACTTTCTTTAAGTGCTGAAGAAGTGAGAAAAAAAAGGATTTTTTTTTTTGGGTGTAAATTCTTTGATCTTTAATAAAATTTTCACCTAAAAAAGTGAAGTTCAAAACTATAAGACCTCTCAATTTTTACCCGTTAAACTTGGGGTAGGTTATGTAGTCTTTGAACCTTCCATTAACTCTGGGCCATAAACGATGAACAACATCAAGTGCAGCAAAGCAATCTTCCTCATTTTCAACAACTAAGCGTAGACCATGAATATCATGTATTTCTTCCATGCTGAGCTTCTTCCTGAAAAAAAAAATAATAATCATCTTGAATTATGCTACAAAGTTAGGGGCTGTTTGGAAGCACCCAGGATTTGATTTAAGTAGGATTTCGTAAATCCGCTAAATCCGGATTTCGGAAATCCCGAGGGGCTTAAATCTTGAAAACTATTTGGTAACATTCATGATAAATCTTATTATATCTCCTGTGATGTTTGGCTATAGAACGGATATAACAAGCTCTCGAACCAACAAATTTTATAAATCCGACAAAAAACAAGATTTCGGAAATCCGAGATTTAGCACGAAAAGGTGGAATTTTTCATCTACGGCGGCTTTCATTTGCCGAGAGATTTGGTTTTGCATTTTAAGCCGTTTGGTTGGATTTCACTCAAATCCGCGTCAAATCCGGCCTAAATCCTGCTACCAAACAGCCCCTTAGTGATCATACATACAGCTAAAGGGAAAGGGAGCATACCTTAGCATCTTGCGGTAAATGCTGTACAAGCTCTTCTGCCTGCCACAGAGCATTTGATAAGATCCACCTTCATTCTGAATAGCCTTCTCTAACTTCCCTATACATGATTCAATCAATTTTTCATCAAAAAACTTGTCAAGTTTTGAGGAAAGATCATTGTGCTCCTCAGGATGAAGATGCTTAAAGCACAAATTCTCAAGCTGCTCCTTCCAAGTAAATATCCCTAATCTGTTTGCTAAAGGAGCAAAAATTTCCAGTGTTTCCTTTGCAAACCTCTCTTGCTTGACCAACGGTAAGGCATCAAGAGTCATCATGTTATGAAGTCTATCTGCTAGCTTTATAAGAACAACTCTGCCGTCCGCCATTGCCAGAAACATTGTGTGTAACCGGTCTGCCTCAATGGTTTTGCTTGCAGTGTTGTTATCACGAGCGAGCTTGCTCAATTGGCTAAGTTTTGAAACCTAGAGAAAGCAAATGGCAGCATTCTCAATAGATTGAAATTTCCAAGCCTAATAGTAGCAAATATTGACTAGCCATAGAAACTTAAGGGCATCTCCAACCGAAAATCTCATTTTTTACTCCAAAATGCAGTGTAACAAAAAAATGATGTGATTCATCTCCAATTGAACTCTATTTTGCGTCCAGGAAACCTTCTTTCTCCTTCGCGTGTTTCTTCGTCAAATCCGGTAGAGACAGAAAAATAACGCAGGGGTGTTTGGTATCGGGTTTGTCCGTCATTTTTAGTAGGATTTAGCATAAATCCAAACAAACGCAATCCGCGCCGCTGTAAATCTGGCAAATCCGTAAATCCAAGATTTACGGATTTGCGGCATAAATTCGGTAAATCCGTCTAAATCCTAATCCAATTATATTCGGATTTAACGCTCAGTCGCGGAACTTCTTACCGCGGCACAATCTGTTACCAAACAACTTCAGAGATTTAACATGATTTAAAAATTTTCATGCCAAACACTTTTCAGAATTTATGAGCCTAGGATTTACTAAATCCGGATTTACAGGATTTAGTAAGTCCTACAAAATTGAATCCAATCCTTTACCAAACACCCCGCAGGTGAATAGTGCAACACCAATATTGACGTCGCAATATTCACCCACAACCAAATACCGAAAGTTTTACCGTTCGGATGGAGCTCGCAAGCGACGTCATTCATGCGTTTAGAGTTTAGTTGGAGATGCCCTAATAGAGACAAACGCCAAAAAAAAAGATCATACCCCTTCGACCAAATCAGCTACCTCAGCCCCAAAGATCCGAAAAATGTATCCATAGCTCATAAAAGAATCGTCAATGGAATCATGAAGCAGGCTTGCAGCAACAACCAGAGAATTAGCACCAATCTCCGCCAACAATACTGCCGTTTCCATGCAATGCTGCAAATAAGGATCTCCACTTGCTCTTACCTGAATCAGTGAAACCCCATTATCTTCAAAATCAAGATCATCAGAAACTAATCGTAAAACTCAAAAAATAATAAAACTCCAGCACAACTTACTTGCCCTCTGTGAGCCTTCTCAGCCTCATAAAAAGCCTTGACAACAATTTCTTCATGAAAGATCAAATGCCTAGATTGAGCTTCTGCGAGCAATCTCAAAGCATGAGGATCACAGCTCCTCGGTGGACTTCCCTCCAAACTAAAAGTGGGTTCTTCTTCCTCAACCAGGCTACCAGGCACTGGGAAGCTAGGAGAATCATAATCCAAGCACGAAACTAGAGCTTTCCTCACAAATTTACTGAAATTTCGGTCTTTTCGGAACTTCCAATCACCAAAAGGAACCCTAATCGACTGCGGTGAGCTGCTTCCGGAGCTGCAAGAGACAGGACAGTAGTGTAAGACGGAAACGGGGCTATGGTCGCGGGCTTTGAAGTGAGGGGCGGAGGTTGAGTAGGAGAAGGAGCAGCTGAGTTCGTCACAACGGTGCGAGCTGAGCTCGTCGACGGCGACGGAGGAGCGGGAGGAGGGAGAGGAAAATAGGTAGGAAAGGCCGCCGGCGATCGGACGGTGAGTGGAAGAGGAAAGAGGGCGAGGATTGAAGTCGAAATCTGTTGGGAAGATGTTTCCCGGCGGAATTGAGTAGAGGGTGATTGCAGGAACCGACATGGATGGAACTGAAGAAAGGAAGTCAATTGGAAACGCTAGTCGAGCTGGATGATTGCAGGAAGATGGGATTTTGAAGGGATTCAGAGCGGGAATTGGGGCACTGAGGGAGGAATTAGGATTCCAGGATGGAGAAGAAGAACGAGATTGATGTCTATTGGAACAGAATCCTTGCAATTTCCATGACTCTGAGAGCGAGAACGAGAGCGAGAGCGAGCGAGAGAGAGAGAGAAGAATCACCGTTACGTTCGTTACTTTGCTTTGAAAATATTATATTTTTGTAAAATTATTGAGTAAGAGATAAGAAGAGGAGGAAAAACAGAAGGAAAATAAAATCATACAGAGAAAACGAATGATGTCATATATCACCATTAAATTTTTTATTATATTTATTTTACTTCAAATAACATAAAAAATAATTATCTATATTTATTTACATGCATTTAACTCACTAAAATTTTTTTATTCAATACATTATTTTTACAGTACATTCCTTTTAATTTATACAACTTGAGTAATATTACATGACCTAAATAAAAGAGCAATATTTTAATCATCTAAAATTTTAATCAGCATATAATAAATAAAAAATTGTGCAAATACACATTGTAGTAGGTTACATTCATTTACTCATTAATTTTTCATTATTTATCTTTTTTTAATTCTCTTATTATTTTTAATACATCATATAAGCATCAAAATTAATATTAAGATTTTATTTGGAACTGTTTTTTTTTTATATTTCTTAGGCTTCGTTTGGGGCGGCTTTCTTAATGTTTTTTTAAAACCGTCCCAAAACGATTTTAAAACCGTCTCAAAACGAAACTTTAAAGCAGCTTTTTAGTACAATTTTTTTTTTTAATTAGATTTTTTTTTTACTAAGAAGCTGCTTAAGAAATCAGCAAGAAAGCCACGTCAAATGAAGCCAAAATTTTTAATATTTTTGTGAATTCTAAGCATTGAAGTTTTATTCAATTTTAAAGTAGATTTGATATGCCTTGAAAGTATTTAATAATTTAAGTCATGCTTAAATTATGAAAGAAATTAGCTGTACAATGCCTCATAAAGTCTTCAAAGCACATTACTTAATTTTAATCTAGCATGTGACAGATTAGATAAGCATGGAATATTTATTTGAGGTAGTTTTCAAATATATAGGTTTTGGTTGGGACAGTTTTCTTTCTGCTTTTTAAAATATTATTTTAATATAATTTTTTTAATATTTATATAAAAAAAAAACTTTAAGAAGCACTAAAAAAATCCATCCTAAAGAAAATCATAATATTTGCTGAAATATCATGGATATAAAATTAAGTATACATGAAATGATGGCTTTTTTATTTCTTATCCAAGAATTCATAAGTTTGGAATATGCTTCTATCAGTTTTTTTTAAAGACCCACCTATGAACCCTAACTTATTTTTGGTAGATAAAATAATTATCATGGTGCAACTCAAGGAGACATAATAATCTTTGGTGAGGATTACTAAAACTAGAGAAACACCATATTTGTTGGAATGATGGAGGTAAGTAAGGATCCTCTATCAAAATTTTGATCATGAAATTGTTTGTTGTGTGTGGAATATGATTGTGTTGATCAATTAGGTTATGTTTTTGCCTCAGAACTCAAGTCAATTTTTTTTGTTTGTTGTGGGGGTTGTCGGGGTCCTTCCCTTGCTTGGGTTTGGCTTCTTTACACAAAAATTTTTTTCCCGTGCAACACCCCAGCTTTGTGTACTCAAGCATTTCGGTGTTGAAAAGTTTGCTGAGAGAAATGACAAAGAGCAGAGTGTTGCATCGCTTTAGATGCGATGTTGCGGCGCTGCGGACTGTCACAGCGCTATGGGTTTGAGTGTCACAACATCATGATGACAAATGCTTGAGCACTGCGGTGCTCTAAACTACGTACAGTGCTTCGAGATAGATTGGATAGTTTCACTACAGGAAAATCACTCATTACCGGTGGTTTTGGCTGTCGATTAACTCTTGTTTTCCATCGCTTGTGTAAAAAACAGGCGGTTTTTCGGCAGTTTACAAACCGCTGGAAAAAACGGCGTAGGAAACCAGTACCGGCGGTGTTTTTCCGGGGTTTTCTTCACCAGCGGTTTGTATCGCCGGTTATCTTCCGGCGGTTTGAGCGCCGGTCACTATCAGTGTTGTGACCGGCGGCTCACCGGTCGTTAGGCCGCCGGTAAAAATACTGTCGTTGGACCGCCGGTAAGCCGCCAGTCACCGCCGGTAAAAATTTTTCTTTCTTGTTTTTTGTCAAGGGTGGGGTCCCTTGGTGTTAATAATTTGAAATTCTTGTGTGTTTTGAGTGTGAGAATAGTGTGTGAAATAAGAGAAGCAGGGGGGAGAGAGAGAGAGAGAGAGAGATAGAGAGATGTACTTAATTATTTCTTCATATTTTCATAGTGGATTTCTTAGTGTGGTGTGGCTCCATGGTTTTTTTTTTCTCAATTTTAAAATTTTCCACGTTAAATCCTAATGTCCTTTTACTTTTTGATGCTTTTACTTTCTTGTTCATTTCATCTCGTGATTTGCTTCAATCTTCAATTGAAACCTTCAAGAGGCATATTTAATGGGTTATTCGTTGGGAAGATGTTAGGACATGAGCAGAAGGAGAAATATTGTAAGACAATAGGACATATTCGCTAGAGATGAGATTATGTTTTAATGTCAAATTACATGAACCTGGATGAAGAATGTACACAAACAAACATGGGGAAAGAAGAAGGGGAGAATAGTGCAAGAGGAAAAAATTTTATTAAGTTCAAAAACCTTAGAAATATATCTCATACAAATGAATACAATTATAGAAATCAAGAAAGGTTATAGGCTACATGAATCTCTAGAATATAAGTTAGCACTTGAATGACAAGTCGTGGAGTAAAAGTGTACGTAGCTACTTAAGTTGCTCAATTCTTGTAATAAAGGCATGTATGAATGCATTTTAACTCATACCGACTATGTTATATTTTCTACCATTTTTCCTTACTCTTGTAATCTTGTAGTATCCAAATTAAGGGACGGGCAAATACTCATCATCAATGCTCGCATAGTGGAAAATTTTATTTAGGTCCGACATGTAAAAATTCTAGTGTCACATGTGCTCTTTTCATTTATCTATTTATGAGATGGATCTTCATACAAAACTAAAATTCAAAATTCTCTTGCTATAAAGTTGTAAATTTGACTAAGCTACAATTATAATCATTTCATTTATTAAATTAATATGTAGATCTTTGTGTATGGGTCATGTTAGAAATCATTAAGAGCTTATTTAGTTCCTTGTAATTAAAAAACATGTTTCATAAAATATATAATATTTCGTTTTTATTTATTTTCAGTATAGAAATAAAAATATCACCTTTCATTGAATCTTGAGGTGGGCTTTGAAGTAAGCCAATTTCCCTGCTTATGAGATTAATGTAACATTAATTACAAAGAATTCTTTCGTCATTTTCTAAAATTTTTGAATTTTAGTTTGAATTTTCCTCAATGGAATAATCAATCAAAGTGGTACCTTTTCTCCACTCTTTACTTCCAAGCATTTATTGTTTGAAAAAAAAGTTTATTCAATAGATACATAATAAATTTTTTTAACACTTCAAATAAATATAAAAATGTGGTCCATCTTAATTTGCTTATTGAGAGCTTAATTTTTAACAAAAAGATTTTGTATTCGAGATATTTATATATGTTTTATATGGGGGATTGACATTCATTATCGGTAGGAAATTGAATTAAGGTATGACCACATATGTGCTATGAAAATTATAGATTTACACGATCTTAGGTGCTCCGTATAACCTACTATTTGTTCGAGACACAACTTTAGTGCATGCATCGCTAGAGATTGTTCATGAATGCTTTGACGACGACACAACCAAAATTGTAGCATATGACTGTTATTATGGCATAATCAAAGTTATGATGCATATCTCCAAGAAAAAGGATGTGTTACGAGAAATAATTTGATATAGTTCTTGAAAGAGTTAATGTGAAGCAAGTGAGATTATAAATTAGATCGTAAAGATAATTTCACTCAATTAGTTTGTATCATAAATTTTGAAGTTTGAAATGATGCGTAGTAATAAAAGTGATATTATATTATTATATACATAAATAACAACAACAATCATCTCAAGCCTTTATCTCGTTACATGGTATCAGCTATATGAATCTTTTTTTAATAGGGTTCTACTAAGAGCCAAATTATCATTTAAATCTAATAAAAAAATCATTTTTAATACTTTCTAGTAAAAAAATTTTAGGCCTACCTCAATCTTTTTTTAACCTCAATCTTTTTTTAATATAGGCATGATCTAATATATATGCTCTTATAACATAGTCATCATAAGGCCGATATTATATGTGACTAAAACCTCTAAGACGACTGACTCTCTTGAATCTTAACTGACACTAGAGCTTTCACATTTTATCTCTTAAGAGTAACGTGACTCATCCATTTGAGCATTCTCATCTCTATAATTCATTTAATTATAATTAAATTCATTTATAATTAATAAATATTAAGTATTTATTGAGCAACTATTTATATATATTATTAACATGATATTGGAATTTAAATATAGTTTTATATTCTAAACTTCAGATGACTTATTTCACATTTTCGAAGAGTTTTTTTTTTCCTATTATAATTACATTATCGTCACACTCCAAAGATTTTTGTCTTGTGATTAATGAAAGGGACTGAAAAGAAAGGCATAAGTATTTTTTGTCTTATTTTCATAATATAACGAAAAAATTTGCCTCGCGATGACATGCGGAAAACACGTGCTGAATGGTTGCGAGCGAGAGCTGCAGGTGACGGCCACGTGGTTGACACGGGTAAGACCTCGTGGCACGTATACACCATTGTGTGCGTTGACTATTTGACCAACACGTGTCTCGCGTGACAGTACACCAAATCTCAAACGGTCAGGTTTGACGACGTGATTAGATAAATTATATATATATATACCATATATTTTATAATATATTATTTATCATTTTTATATAAAAGACTCATAAATTATTATATTTTTTACACTCTTGGACGTGATTTGCTATATTTTAATAAAGGTTTAGAATTTATTTAGGGTGCCATAATTTTATAAAATTAATTTATGAAGTTTATGTGGGAAAAATAATTTAGTTATTTTGATTATAAAAAATAATTTTTCACCACTGAAATTTTTAAATAATAATAAAAAAGTAACAATAAAGTTGTAATTATATGATATACTGATTACAGTTTGAAAAATAAAGTAATAAAATAGGATCTTATATAAAAGCAAATTTATTATGTAAAAATATGAAGTCATTAGGGATAATTATGTTGGAGCTATTACTTGTGTTAATAAACAAAGTGGTTTGATCAAGTATTTTTCAAATTCAGTTGGATTATATAAAAGGATCAACCTTAAGCTCGTATCTTTTTGAGTTAGTCGTGGATGTTCTTGCTAGAGATTTGCAAGAGAATGTTTACTAGTGGGGGTTGGAAGAAACTAATAATACGAGAGTTATTCTCAAGAGAATTTTAGCATGTTCATTCGGCTGCAGAATCATAATCAGGTGAAGGTGATTGCAGGGATCGTAGTTGATGAACAACAGAGGAACCATATTCGACTGGTGACGGAAGGTTGAAGGGAATGTAGTTGGTGAGCGATGGTGGTCGGAATGGTCTATTGATGGTAGCTAGGTGGAGATCCGACAATATTCGGTAGCGGGCGGAGGTCCCGACATCCGGTGCGGACAGCAGGGCCGGATGAAAGTTCAATGACGGAAGGTACACAAGTGGTGGTCCAACTTTCTCACTATATATTTTTAAATAGCAGCCACAATTTTATTTGACTACTAATTTCTTGTTGTTTTGTCATTAGTTTCTAAATTTTTTTATAATAGGAAGTTACTATTTACAACCAGAGTTGCTAATGTGTGCTCGCAAGAAAGCTATTGTTTAATTAAAAAAAATATTTATAATATTGATAACAACTTTTTAAAAATTTACTTTTTCAATAATAACTTTACAATTATTTTTACAAATGTTTCCAAACAGATTCTTAGGATTTATTTGTGAAGTTACTATGAAGAAAGTAAATTAGTTACTCTGATTGTTAAAAATAACTTTCTACCATAAAAAAATTAAAATGTAGTGAGAAAACAACAAAAAATAATAACTAATAACCAAATAGAATTATGGTTATTGTCTTTAAAGTAAAACATCAAGAAAGCTATCTCAAACATAGCATTAATCATATATACTCCCTGCATTACGCTAATTTGTCTTTGAAATCTATACATTCAGATTATTATAAAAGGGGTTGAAAATTTAATTATTCTATTTGAGGAAGAGTAACAATAATTTGCGCCATGACAAACCTAACAAGTTTAACAATAGAACCGAACAGAAGGCCGATCACTTCGACTATGCTAATTTATTTCATTTTTGGAGATATTTCGGTTATTTTAGTCAAATTCACGCAGACACATCACATACTCATGACTCGAACCGAACATCTATTAGTTGGTAGCCAAAGCTCCCAACCAACAGAACAAGATGAGTTGCACGGCTTATTTGTTTCAACTAAAGTATTTGAAAATGACTAAAATGAGATTAAGAAAATAAGTTTAAATATGCAATTTACTAAAACATGAATGAAAAATAAATTCATATTTTTAAAACTCAAATATGCAAATGTAAAAAATTAATTTCACTTCTGGAAACTTGAAATTAAATTTACTTTAGGTTGTCTTATTGAGAAAGAAAAGTTCAAAAATATGTTGCAAAGTTTATTATTTTTTATTAGCATCAAATCAGAATTTGAATAGTTTTTTTTTTCTTTTTGTTTGGAATTTCATTGCATGCAATTATCAGAGTGAAAATAAAAGAAGAGGGAGAAAATAAGAGAACTGGAGATATTATTAGGTGCTGATGGCGAAAGGCGAAAGCAGCTCTTCGTGTCTGCCAATCCAAGTTTGAACTATACATGTTTATTTGAATAGATAATTTTTGTCTAGCTTTTTTATTGCTTCTTAAAACAGCTTTTAAGTATAAAAATTTTAATTTTTTAACTAAATTTTTTTTTAAGAAGCAGTAAGAAATCTATTCTGATAGAGTTGCATGCGCCATATTGTGTAGTTGTCGGTGGTGAGTTGGGTAGGGACAAGATTCTTGATGTTGGAGATTAGAAATTTTAGAGGGGTAGGGATTACGAATTCTGCAAGAGATTCTGAGATGTTGGAAGTTTCCCGGCGTGAGGTTGCTGATTCTTGATCGGCCATGATCGTCGGAACTAATCCGTGAGGAAGACAAGCTCTGATACCATGAAGAGAGTCTTGCACATGCGGTAATGGAAGAAAAGGAAAACAGAAGTAGCACAAGAAAGGGATAGGCGCCCGTGACAGGGAAAAAGATAAAACTGTGTATTACATTAATGTTTAGATACAAGTAAATATATAGACTAAGACTAGACAAGAAAGTACAGCAAGAAAGTACAGCTACACTACAAGCTACATAGACCGGTACACTAACAGCGCCCACCATTCACAACTAATACTTTCTGTTTATGTGAGTGTGGTGAAACATCTCGCCTGATCTCTACTTCTTGCAAGTGTGGTGGTGTCCATGCAAATGTTGTAGGGTGCTTATAAGTATAATGCCTTTCTCCATGGTGATTTATTTGATAAGGAAGCCTACAAGGATCTTCCTCTAGGGTATGTTGGGGTGACAATTTCTAGTCACGGGTCTGGTTCGGGTCAAATTCGGAACTAACTCAGCACTATTCGGGTTCGGGTCAACCCGACCGTTTTTTACAAACGGGTTTATTTTTCGAACCCGAACCCGACCCGCTTCGGGTTCATGTAAACCCGACACGACTCGTTTACGGTTTAGGGACAACGCGACAGTAGGGGCAGTAGTAGCGACAGCGATGCCGACGACGAGAGTTACAGACGCGACAAGACGCGCGGAGTGAAGTGACGCGACGTGTTGCAGCCGGGTAGGCGAACCGCGGGTTAGACGGGGCAAGCAGGGCAGCTGGGGCAGGTGGGGTCGCGGGCAGGGCTAGTCAGGACTGGTTTACGGGTCACTCCCAGGTTCCCGAGTCAACCCGAACTCGACCCGGTTTTGCAAACGGGTCGATTTTCTCGACCCGAACCTGCCATGCTTCGGATTCGATCAACCCAAACCCGAAATTTTCGGGTCAGGTTCGGGTCGGGTTTTCTGGTCGGGTCCAATATTGACAGGGCTAAGGGTATGCAAGATAGGGGGAGTTGAATAACACAATAAGGAAAATGGTTTGTAAACTTCATAAATCAATTTACACACTTGTGGAAGCTCTAATGAAGCGTGTAAATTTTTATTCTTCTAAACAACTCCTCTGTTGTTTAGATTTTTATTCTTGTTGATACTGAGATGCAGTGCAAAAGGAAGGCAAAAGAAATCAACACGATAGATTTAGATTTTTGCTCTTGTAAACACTGAGATGCAGAAATATCACAAGGAAAGCATAATTGAAGCATAAACTTTGTTCCCTTAAAAAACCTTTTGTTGGGATGTGCTTCCTCTGTTAGAACTTATCAATTTAACTCTTCAATCACCTGCGTAGAATGCATTAGATTAAAGAGTTCTTAAATTTCTTACCATAATTTAATCACATGTAAGATTAAAGATATCGAATTCTTACAAGAACTTTCTGTAAGATTAAGTTATCTAACTTTTACAAGAACTCTCGCAAAAACTCGCATCATAAATATGTAAAAGAATTCGAAACGAAAAACATGAATTTACATAAAACTTAAATCCACAAGATCTTAAACAAGATGATTTTCACAAGATTTTAATCAGGAAAAAAACATACCTTGAATCTAACTTTTACAAGAACTCTCGCAAAAACTCGCATCATAAATATGTAAAAGAATTCGAAACGAAAAACATGAATTTACATAAAACTTAAATCCACAAGATCTTAAACAAGATGATTTTCACAAGATTTTAATCGGGAAAAAACATACCTGGATTCATGTTGAATTCATTGAATTCCAAACTACGGTTTCTCTCCCTTTTCTCTTTCACTTTATTTCTTTCATGAGTTAACTCTCTATGGAACAAACTAACTCCCATAATGAGAGAGAGAGGACCTGTAGTTATTTCCTACGGCTTAGTTATAATAACCGCTCATATGAGTTATTTGATCAAACGGTCTATAAACGACTAATCAAATTATCTCTTTTTGACTAATAGGATTTCATATAAATAATTAAATTTCAATAATTCAAATACATATGCCACTTAATTGTTTATATAATTAAATATATATACTTAAATAATTATTACGACGTATAGCATAATTATTATATTTAATTATTCTAACAAAATGACCTCAGTTCCCCAGACAAGGAATTCAACATACAATATATCATCTCCATTTGAGAGCGTAAAGAGCATCCAGCATGGAACTCATGCAAGGTCCCATTGATGCTAATCCAGCTGCAGCCTCGTTGCTTTCTCACACCTCTCACCTTCATCAATCTTCTTAGCTCCTCAATATCTTCCCAATTCCGATCAACAGCATAAACATTAGAAAGCATGACATAGCCAGCAGAGTTCTCCGAATCTGCATCGAAGAATCTTCGAGCAACTTCATGAGCAACATCCACCTTGAAATGAACCAAGCAAGCCCCAAGCAAAGATCCCCACACAAGGCCATTAGGCTCAATTGGCATGGTCTTTACAACTTCAAGAGCCTCTTCAATAAAACCGGCCCGAGCTAAGAGATTAGTGAAGCAAGCATAGTGCTCTAGCTTAGGACTGATAGAGTATTTCCTTTGCATATCAGTGAAAATCAAACGCCCTTCATCCACCATACCTGAATGAGTGCAAGCACACAATAAACCTAAAAATGATCCATCATTGGGCACTATATTTAGCTTTTCCATGTCAGAGAAGACCCTCAAAGCCACCATTTCTTCACCATTAATGGCAAGCCCCATGATCATGGCATTAAAGGAGACCACATCTTTCAAAACCATTCTATCAAAGACCTGTTTCGCCTCCTTTAAGCTTCCACACTTGCAGTACATGTCTATAAAGGCGGTCCCTAGAATCTTGTTAGACTGTAAGATTCCATGGCCACCACTAAACTTCATGTATTCATGAGCCCATCTTCCAAGATTTAGATCACCCACCACAGCGCAAGCCGATAGGATGCTGGCAATGGTAACATGATTAGGCTTTGGAGTAGAATGACTAAGCATACAGTGAAAAATATTCAAAGCTTCAATGGGCTCACCATTCTGGACATGGCTAGTGATCATGGCGTTCCAAGCCACAATACTCACTCTCCCACTTTCTCTCTTCCTCATCTTTTCAAACAAGTCCCTGCTTTCCTCAACTCTGCCCAGTTTCCCATAGAGGTATATAAGAACTATGATAGCAGAATCCTTGTTACTGTATTCTTCGACAATTCTCAGCCATTTATGGGCCTTTGCGCCCTCCAGACTAGAGCAGGCAGATAGAACACTTACCATGGCATCATCTTCTGGTATGAAATTCTCCTCAATCATATCAATGAAAAGTGAGATAGCATCCTCTCCATCGCCGAACTGTGCATGGCCTGCAATTAAACATGTCCAACGACAGACCATTCCTTTTTCTGGCATTTCATCAAACAACTTGCGGGCATAAGCCAGAAGCCCAACACCCTTCGCATATGCTGACAAAAGAGCATTACATACAAAAGGATCAGAACTATACCTCGACTTAGTTACTTGAGCATGGAGTTGGAAAACATGGAAAGCATTTCTGGAGAAAGAACAAGCTCTAAACAGTTCGGAGAAGGTGAAGTCGTTGGGGGATAGAGAGAGGTGTTTGAGGGAAAGGAAGAGAGAGACAGCTTTAGAGGGGGAGGAATCAGAGAGGATGCGGATGGAAGCATTGAAAGGTAGAATATTGGGGCGGTGAAGGAGGCGGAGGAGGTTGATAACCTGCTCCGGGAGGCGGAGGCGGCCGATGAGAACAGTTACAAGGAAGTTGTTCTGGTGGGCACCAAGGTGGAAGACGCGGGCGAGGATTTGGAGAAGATGAGTGGAGTGAAGAGTAGAACGAATGAGGGCGGTGAGCGCTTTGAGTTCTGAGATGGCGGTAAAAGGGGAGGAGAGCATGCTACGAGCTGTTTCTCAGAAATTGAAAATGGGCTGGTCTAACGGTCGAGTTGCGTCTATATTGGGCATGGCTACAAGCTTTTTCTGCTTTGGGACAGTATTTTTAATTGAGCGAAAAAAAAAATCAGCGAAATACTTGTTGCGTCCTAGAATATTCGCGGCGGTAGAAAAATATATAGTTTAATGTCTTAGCATTGTACGAAGATCCAGCACAAAATCAGATAAGTGAGAGGGTGTAGCATTCATAAAAGACACCAGAGTTTTTACGTGAAAAACTCCTGAAAAGAGAAAAAAACCACGGGGCCTGGCCCAGTTTGAATGAATCCACTAGTATTTGCAGTTGGTTACAAATGAGGCCCTTCCTTGGGATAAGGCCTTTGATTGATGTAACAAATGTACATGAAATAGATTGCATTACATGGTGGGAGTTACATATACATGTTTATTTGATCGGAAGGAAAGTAGTCGGCAGGAGACCGGGGTCATAAAGACCGTTGTCTTCTGTTGATGGAGGTTAGACGGACCGTAGTAGGCGACGAAGGCCTGAAGTACCGTAGTCGGTAGGAGACTGGGGTCAGAAAGACCGTTGTCTGTTGATGGAGGTCGGAAGAACCGCAGTCGGAAGGACCATAGTCGGTAGGAGACTGGGGTCTGAAAGACCGTTGTCTAGTGATGGAGGTCGGACGAACCGTAGTAGGCGACGAAGGCCTGAAGTACCGTAGTCGGCAGGAGACTGGGGTCAGAAAGACCGTTGTCTGTTGATGGAGGTCGGAAGGGCCGTAGTAGGTGACGAAGGCCTGAAGGACCGTAGTCGGTAGGAGACTGGGGTCTGAAAGACCGTTGTCTGTTGATGGAGGTCGGAAGGACCGTAGTAGGCAACGAAGGCCTAAAGTACCGTAGTCGATAGGAGACTGGGGTCTGAAAGACCGTTGTAATAGGGCGGTACTCTGGTAGAACTCTGGGCGTCATGTAGTGGCCTAGCAGAACTCCGGGCCTCAGGTGGTGTCCTGGTGGAGCACACAGCCTTTGATGATGATCTGGCGAAGGTAAAGGCCTCTGGCAAAGGTGAGGGCCTTTGACGAAGGTGAGGGTCTCATGCGAAGGTGAAGGCCTCTAGCGGAGGTGAGGGCCTCAGGTGGTGGTGCGGCGAAGTTCAGGCGGTGGTCCGGCGAGGCTTCAGCGGTAGACCAACGAGGCTCCCGTGGTGGTCCGGCGATGCTCCTGCGGTGGTCCGGCGAGGTTCCGACGGTGGTCGAGGAGGAGCTTCTTCCTTCTCTTCCTTCTCTTCTCCTCTTCTCCTCTTGCTTGGGTCCCACTCTCATGAGAAATGAGGGCTCTATTTATAGATTTTATGGAGTGGCATGGCCCGTAAATAGGCGTGAGATCAGGGGCGAATAGAGAGTGGTCGAATGGATGGTCGATATTGAATCCTACGATAGTGCACCATTCGTTGGTCATTTGAGGGCCTTAGTGATGTCAGAATTCAGTGATCTTGGGCTCGTTGGATTTGTATCGTCGAGCCGTTCGATTCGAGTATAAGCTCGTTAAAATCGGAGACCGTTTGGTAACTCAAATAGTGATTTGAACCGTCCAACAGCACTTTGAGTCCTTGATTCGGACCCATTTGGGCTCGGATTGAGTTGAATTTGGTGTCCTTAAATTCGTATTTTCGAGACGCTCGGTTTGACTGTAAGCTCACTGAAATCGGAGTTTGGGTGCTCCCGAATTTAATTTTTGAAATTTCCAACTTGATTTTTGCCTCGAGATTCGTGCCCGATCAAAATAATTTTTTGACGGCGTATCAATACTGATCTTGCTAAATCGCATGGGTCAAGTCACGTAAAAGTATTGTGGAATCTCACATTGAAGTCTTCAACAAAATATGTTTGCATAAAAAAAATAATAAGTGATTAGGGGTGTCAATATTTGACACGACACGAAAATCCGACTCGAATCCGACCCGAAAAATCCGGGTTGGACCCGACCCGAATGCAAAACGGGTCGGGTTCGGGTTCCAGAAATCGACCCGTTTGAAAAACGGGTCGGGTTCGGGTTGACCCGACGGGTTGCCGGGTCAACCCGTTTGACCCGAAACGTGCAGTCCGAGCCAGCCCGAGTCCGAGCAAGCCCGCGCTACGTCCCCGCTCCGCCCGCGATGCTGCGATGCCGCGCTTCGCCTGCGCTGCCGGATTATTTTTTAAAAGTCGGATTTATAAATATATCATAAATTTTTTATAAATTAATATATCTAACACCAACATAAAATATGTATGAGAATATATGTTTTACCTTAAATAAATTTATATTTGTGATATTTTTTATATGGTTTAGAGATATGTGTGTTATAAGAGTGAATATAAAGTTGTAAGTGTTAGATATATAAATATTTAAAATTTTAGTGGCATATATGTAAATTCCCCTTTTTAAAATGGTTAAAAACCATAAGCATCATCTTCACCTTCATCCAAATCTATACATAACTAAATAATTTATTTGCATACGCATATATTCTTTAACTTTATGATAATTAATAAAAATAAATGTAAGAAAATTAAAACAATAAACTTAATTATTTAAAAAAATTTAATTAACATAGTTGTTACTTAGATAAAACATAAAATCTTGCAAATAAATGTTGATCCAAAATAGAATATTTAAGAAATTTTTGAATCTACAAAATATAAATAAGTACTGAACTTTATAAAAACCTATGAATTTCACTTGGATGTAAGCAAAAAAAGGAAATCTATGAAATAAAATATTAATTTGATGAAAAGAAAATAGAACATTCAACATTAAATATTAAGACAGACCTAAAGATTTCATTAAAAAACAAAATTATAGATATAAACAAATAACAACAATAACATCAACCTTTTATCGTACTATATGCATGGGATTGGAATGATAGATATAAACATAAAGTGCCAAAATCTACGAACTTAACAAATGAAAATTTCGAAAGTTTCCAACTATATTTTATGTCACAAAAAAATTTATCAATCATGATGCAATATTTGGATTAAAAATTTTTGAATAAAATCTAAACCATTCAAATTCTAATTTTAGAAAGATTATCGTTGAAACCAACGTTAAAATTATATCTATAATTCTAATGTTAAAACCATGAAGCAAACCCAACCACATGAAAAGTGGTCATATCGGAGTCCAAATGAGTTCAAACTAGACAATTAAAGTATAGTTGGAAACTTAATTTGTGTGATCAAACGATGTCTGAATCATGTATGTTTATAATCAAATCAAGTGGCTCAATGAGAGGATTATAGCGAGATCAAAATCACTTAATTATGTGGTTTTTAAGACACTTATATGCTGAAAGAATTATTTGTGATTTAGAGAATTAATATGGGCAGTTCGATTGAGCATTTTTTGGATTTTGGCTAAGTTATCAAAATCATACTCTAGAAAACTACTAGACTATCATTCTTTAATTGAAGGGGAAGATGGGACCGTGGACTTGAGTTTGGAGATACAAAGAACTTAAGAGCTATATTTGATGTTTCATTCAGAAGATCAAAGCTAGTGATCACTATCATCAATTGTCCTTGGTATCATAACCATTGTCATAAAAATATCAATTCTTGATTGTATTATATTGATCACTGTTACCCTACTATGATTTCTCAATCACAATCACTCAACTATAATCTCTGAGCACAACTACTCAAACATTGTCTCCTATCAACAACTTCGGTGAACCATCACCTTTAAGCATGATGCATGCTATCGACAACAATTAATGTCGTCGATATAAATGTTGGCATCCATTAATTTTACACCCCCGTCACTAACAGTGTCATGTACGCCATCGCTTGTAAAAATTGATGTACGTCACTATCAATGCATGCATGACAACGCTATAAGGCATGATACATGCTATTGATGTATATCATCACTTATAAAGTAGAAGCACATTGTCGACTCCAACCCCAACACACAATTATTTTGTCGTCTACCTTCATATAAAACATGGATGCACGCCATCACTAATTAGCTCGATACATACTATCAACACTAACTCTAACTCCTGACATCATAGCTGATATTTATAAAAAAAAATTTTAGTCTCTAATATCCTCTCCTCAAAAGAGAATTATTAAACAGATTGCATATGAAAACTTGAATACAACTCTAATCTCCATATAAAAACTTTCATTGCCAATTGAGCCAATGTTATTAGGAGTAGTTATACTATACCAATGATAGAAACTTTTAAATATTTTTTTCTTAAATTTGCACTTAACATTTCTCAATTAATTTTTCAACTAAAGCTGATATTCACTTGCGTAAATCCAACATGATCATTCCACCTGTGCTTGTCCATGAGATCACTTAGTTTAATGACTGGAATTTTAAGTGCTGTACTTAACAGAAGGAGAAAGTTTTATGTGTAGATTATGGCTTCGTTTGGGACAGTTTTTTTAAGGCTTCTTAAAGTAATTTTTTAGTTAAAAAATTAAAAATTTTGTGTTAAAAAATTACTTTAAGATACCCTAACTCTGCTACATGTGAAGAAGTGCTGGCTGGGTACTTAATTTTTTTTTTAAGTATAAAATTGTGTGAATCTATTATATGCATATCGCAGTTGCATGTGTTTGATGATTTTGTATGCTCATTATTTGAGTACTTCTATGTACATTTGTAATATTTTTAATTTATGATTTTTTTTCTCTTTTCGTTGGGAATTTCACTCTTGATCCCACTTGGGCTTCATTTGGACAGCTTTTCTTATTATTTTTCAGAGCAGTTTTTTAGCATAAATTTTTTTTTTGAAATAAAAATTTTTATATTAAAATATTATTTTAAAAAACAATAAAAGCTGTCCCAAACTAAACCTTAATAATTTTTTTTTTTCTCTTCTATATTTTCTGCTGTGTACGTTGCATAATTTTACAACCTAATAACTCAAAACTTCTCACCAAAAGCTTAGAGACAGGCTTAGAGTAATAGTCCTCTTTAGGAATAGCTTACTTAGTTTGTTACAAGTTTCTCTAGAATATTCTATAGATAGGTTATATATGTATGCATTGTAGTAGGGAAAAAGTCATTGAATGATATTATCCCTTTGTTAAAGCTTTGGAAAGCTTCTTCTTCTTCCCTGGATTGGGAAAACTCAAATCGCAGGTCGCATCTTCCGACGATCCACTACATCAGTTGGTATCAGAGCTTGGAGCTTGTGAAGATCGATGGACTACGGAAGAAGGTCGGCTGTCGACGACGATCGAAGCCGTAAAACAAGATTGGCGGTCGACGACGATCGACGCCAAGGAAGGTGGGCTGTCGACAATGCTCGAAGCCGGATCGCCTTCTATCAGGCTCAATCGAAGAAGTCGCTCGATCAGATAGATAGAAATCTTGCTCGGATTCGCGAAACCCTTCGGGCAATAAGGAGGATGAGGATGTCGTCGGCAACCATACGGAGGCATTCTTCTTCTTTGCTATCCTCGTCCGCTCCTCGCAACGCTATCAATCTCTCCATTCTTCCAGCGTCATAGACGACTACCCCTCGCTCGAGCTTCCACTCAAATGGCGTGATCCCCCTCCGCTTCAATGTCGGATCCGTGTTCCCAAACCTCCTCCGCTTCCGCCTGACCTGACCAACGCCAAACCAACTTCGTTCGAACCGCCTCCGCTCCAGCTCAAGACGACGCCCCCAAAAAGAGCCCACTCAACAGATCCGAAGCCGTTTCAACAAAGCTCTTATGCCGTCGAACAAGTCTTCAGTATGTCTGGACTCCCAAACCCGCCTCAGGACAGCATTCCCACCTCCGGCTTACTCCACTCTTCGATCCAGGCGTGCGACCAAGCCCAACCCACCGGCCTCCAAAACCCCCAAACGCGTTCGTCCCTTCACAGGAAGAAATTGATGTTGAGCAAGCTGCCGCAAGACCAGAAGAAGATGTCGTGAATGATGAGGAAGCTTATGATCTTTTAGAACCTGTTGAAGATGAAGATCCGGTAGAGGAGGTGAGTAAAGAAGTTTCAAATGATTTTCATGCTGTGGTAACTGTTCCGGGTTTTTCAAATGAACAAGAACACAATAAATCCTTTGTTTCTTTTGTGATGGTGATGAAAGAGAGCAATACACCTATATCAATTCCTACATCAGCTCCTGCAAGGGTGACGCCATTCAACACAAGGAGACCGCCATTTGATCGGGGAGAAGCCACAGCAATGGCGGAAAAATCAGATTATAGAAATGGGGATGTTGAGTTAAATGATAACTACATTGTTACTGCAGGTGTAGAAATCCCATGTATAAATTCTATTGAAAAAATTAATTCAGTGTCATGCATCCAAGCTGTTCGACGAAATGTCAATAAGGGCTGGGATCTCAAATTTGAATTGTCAGGCTCTACTTACGGGAGCAAGGAAAATGGGAAACTTATATTTTATGGCCCCACTGCCACTATTGAGGAGCAAGGAATCAAGGAGCTCGACATGAGGCCGGGCGTTATTTCTTCCCTCCATTTTACTGATCTCAAGGGCGCGCAGTGATAATGAGCTTGTTATGCAGTGGTTAAGAAAGCCATCAATTGAGCATTCTGTAGTTGAGTTGTACAGAAACAATTCTACTCTATCTATAAGGGGGCATGGTGGTAAGGAAAAGACAACTCTCTTGCAATATGTCTACAAAGATGAAGAGGAGGAATTAAAGAAACAAAACTAAAGGGGAGAATGTGATCACCTCCCTATCTTATGGAATTTGGAAAAGTGATCTTTCTTTTGCCGTTGATTTCAGGAGGGATCGGTTGTATGCCAAAAACTCATATCCACCACCCAATTGACAAATTGAAATGCTTTTTCAATTCAAGGATCCCAAGGTTGAACCTCCTCACTTAGATTGGGGAAAGCCTCTTCATGTAGTAATTTTAAAGTCTACATTCAAAGTCTTCGATCTATGAATTGTTTGCCACCCTACCTCTCTTCTAATTAACGAGCCTCGAACGGAGTCGAGCTCTTTTTACGCAAGGGGAGAATGATGTGGAACATTATAGCTAATAGTCCTCCTTAGGAATAGCTTACTTAGTTTGTTACAAGTTTCTCTAGAATATTCTATAGACAGGTTATATATGTATGCATTGTAGTAGGGAAAAGGTCATTGAATGATATTATCCCTTTGTTAAAGCTTTGGAAAGCTTCTTCTTCTTCTTCCCTGGATTGGGAAAACTCAAATCCTTCTTGCAGGATCGCATCTTCCGACGATCCACTACATCAGGTACCGAGCAAAAAAATGACGTAATATCAAGTTGCTAGAAATGCATTTGAGCACAAACAGCTTAGCCAACTTAAAATAAAGCTTTTAATTTCAGCCGGACAGCTTTCAATTTCAGCTTTTAATTGCACGTGGTATCATACTAAACAGAAAGCCATATATTCTTCTTTTAGACACTGGAATTCAAGTTGCAAATACATCCAGCAATGGCTACAACTACCACTATATAGCAAGACATCGCCATAAATATTTATTAATTAATGATAGGAGAAAGTTAGAAACCTACAATGACATATTTCTTTCGTCTTTACAGACAAACATATCATTAATATTCTTCTCACATTCCTTCTTTAGTTACATTTTCTTTTCTTTTTTCAGAAACAAGAGCTTTTAATATGCAAGCAGAAGAAGCTGCTCATTAAGCTGCAGCAACATTAGGGTAAGTTGCACAAGTAGCAACACCTGAATCAAATTTCCATTGAAGTTTCAGTCCCTAAAAAGAGTAAAAAGTTAATGAAAAGGAAATACATTTGTAATCTCATTTACTCACCGCACATGTTCTTGCCTGACTCAATCTTGAAGAAGCCATTATCGCCCCATTTTTTCCCCCAAGAATTTTTGATAAGCCAGTAAGGTATGCCATCTTCTACGCCATATCCAACGACTAAAACTGCATGATTCAAATCCTGCAAATAAGAAAGAAAAGAAAAGAAACTTTTAGTCAAAAATCCGGCCTTTTAATTGATTCTTTCATTAAAGATCTCATATATACATCTGGAGAACTCCCGCAGGTGTCACTGCTGAAAACTCCTTTCTTGTAAAATCTGAAGTCAGGGACTACATCAATTCCAACGGTAACTGGTCTTACAATTCCCACTGCGTGCTTGAGCTCATCCTCGTCACCCTATCAGTAAACATCATTCAATTTAAAATCAGCTTAGAACTCAATTTATTTAAATTTAAATCAATTCTGCTGATAAAATAACTGTGAGTTTGTCGATTATGCATATAGATGATTTTGCTTTCACTCGTTTAATATTTGAAAATGGAAGTTTTTAGATTTCATCATCATTCAGAAGTAAGAAAATGGGATCAGAATGACCGACCTGGCTCACTTTCAATCAGAATAAGCTTCAAAATTCGACATTTGTCAAGAAGTATATATTTTACAGATGTAAGTCCTGACAGTTGGGTGATTAGTAGATTCAATATGTCTAGCTTATAATTGATTTATACTTTAAACCTTAAGTGATAGAACACAACAAATCTGATTCGCTATGGGAAAGTCATTCATTACGGACAGAATTTTTCGGAAGAGTTCTTCAAACAAATTTTTGAAGTTTTTTTGGCAATTTTCCGACGGAATATGATGAAATGGCTTTTCCAGTTCTTTCGAGTGCTTTTATTGCCAACGACATTTTCCGACGGCTTTTAAATAATTCTTAATTTTAATATTTTATTTTAATTCATGTTGAATTATTAACATTCATTTTAAATTAATTATATATTTTAATTCTCATTTTAAACTTGATTATTAATTTTACATATTTTTATAGATTAAAACATCATTTTGATTAAGTATTAGTTTAATAACTCATTGTTTATTTTAATATTTTAGTTTAATTCTTTTAATTTTAAAATTCGTCGGAAAATGCCACAGGAAAAAATTTTCCTATGCGGTTTTGCCAGTTGAAAATTTTCCGCCTGAAAGTCGCGGATAAATTCACTCCGCCGAAAAATGATCAATTGCCACCGAAAAATGCCGCCAGTAATATATGATTTTCCTACAGTGATTATCATGTGAAATCTTGTTCCTATTTACTAATCAGCAATCTAAAACATTATACCAAAAAGCTCTGAACTCATCATTCAAATGATAATAAAGATTGATACTTGAATTCGTTTCAGATGATTCACTAACAAAAACATATTGAAATAAAACTATAAATATAAGCCTGAACTTCAATTTTTGAAAGATGAAGTGAAGAAGAAGAAGAAGAAGAAAGAGAAATAATCCTTACCTGTGTGATGTTAACTGAACCAATAACCTTTGCACGCACGTTCTCTTTCTTAAATCTACATTTACCATTAGCAGCCAAATAAGGGTAAGTTTTCTCTGCTTCAATACCGCCATTATCCTTAACGTACTGAAAAGCTTGGGAAGGAAAGCCTCCGCTGCATCCAAAATTGTTGTATTTAAGGGAACAATCTATAAGCTGCTGCTCTGATAGAGATATAGCCTTTCCAGTTAGTTGCGTGAATGCCGCCTCTATTGCTCCAGTTGCGCTGTCAATTAGTACATATAAGTGATCAGAATTATGATTCTTAATCTTTTGCCAATATATTTCATTTTATAGTTGAATCGATTTGCAGGTTCAGAAGAACATTTTCTGGCCTGTAGGGATATCAGAAAAGCTCGCTGTTCATGTTTGATAAATTGAATTAGCTTAAATTCAACTAGTTTTTAATAAGATCATAGGCAAACGCGGATAATACCTCGTTGGACCTTCTTCTGCTTGCTAAAAGCTTAATTATGTTCATAAATACATGAATGTATGCATAAATATATGCATGCATGCATGCATGCGTATATATTGTACATATATACTCTTATTCATATATTTATATTTATATGGCATATGTACATATATGATAATAATGGCATATATTTTATAATTTATGTATGAATTTTACGAAAATTTTATGTTTTATATTGTTTATGTTCGACTCGCAACAAGTTAATGATTCAACAGTACTACAGAAAAATCTTCTATTATCGTCGGACTTTTCTGCGGATTTAAATGCATCGGTGAAAGTGGCGGACAAACCGGCGGATATTTATCTAGTACTTTACGGCGGCATTTCTGGCACATTTTTTGCAATATTTCAGCCGGAAATACCGGCGGATATAACGCCAGAATTCGCTCGAAGAAAACGACGTGCTTTCTTAATTTATTTTTTTCGCCAGAATTGCATTGGAAAATCTGTTGGAAATGTTTTTGGCAGAAATATTTCGCTAGAATAGAGTTTCCGACGCGCAAATTACTATCGTATGAATATCCGCTGGAAACTTGCCGGAAAAGCAAGATTTTCAATGGATTTTCATTTTTTTTTTTACCGACCAATTTTATCTGCAGTTAATAAGTCATTTTTTTTTGTAGTGTAACAAACGAAAGATTCTGGCTCATTTGCATGAGCTGAGCCCGAGGCAACACTTGAGAATGCTCAAATTGGCCTCATTGCAAGCTTTAAATTCTTGAAGGCAAGATAATAATGATTTGTCTTTGCTGCTTGACTTCCCTCTATGGCACAAAACCTCAAATAAAAAAACCAAGATCATGGAAGGCTAAGTAGTTACTCAGTTTTTCCTACTCTTACCTAAACGCCCAGCAGGATCCACAGTCGCCTTGGTTCTTCACATGGCTCACTATTCCATCCTTCCTCCAGTCCTTCTGCAAGACTAAATCAGTCATTCACCATCACTGAAATTGAACGGCTAAGATCAATCATCATTTAATCAACGACTCAAAACGCACCTCCTTCGGGAGCTTCTTCTTGTTCAATATATGCTTTGGTTTTAGACCTGCCGAGCAGTTCAGCGATGTTCCTCCCAGCCAGCTCGCCCTGAACTCCTCCCACGTCAAGTCAGCGAAGTCTGATCCAACGGCCAACGCAATCGTGATTATCCAATCCAACGGTCACAACTCAATCAAAAATTAAAATATTTTACTCACGGTTGACGGATACACTGTACGATAGACCCTTCCGATTGGTGGCCCTGATTTGCTCAAAATTCTGCTTGAAGATCCCAAACCTTCTCCGGAGTTCATGCACAGACTCGTAGCTTTTCCCATAACTACGACAGAATCACAGCCGTCCGATCATTAAATCAGAAGTTTTTTTCTGAAGGATAGAGATTATAGATTAAAAATCAATGAATCAAATCTACCGTTGGGCGAAGAGTGCGAAGCGAGTGGCATAAAAGGAGGTGCCGAGAGCTTGGAGGAAGGCTGGGTCGGTCGAACTAAACGGGTTCGTGTTAGGCAGGTTCGGGTTGTCATCCTCGGACGGAGCAAGTGAGGCGGCGGAGGAGGCGCAGGCGGCGGAGAAAAGAAAGACAACGGTGAGGGGTATGCGATGAGCCATTGGCCTTGCGGACTGCGAATCTGTGCTTGAATGGAAGATGGAGCGAGCTAGCAGGTTTTATTTATAAGGAGGAGATGACGGAGTTTCATAAGAAATGACGGTTATGCCCTCTCTGGAGACTTATGCGTTCTTCTTTTAAGAGCAGGAACATGCAGTTGTCATTATACTGTTTTTATTTTGGACAAATTTTTAAAATAGGCATGATTAAACTTTAATTATATAATTAAGTACTTCAAGAGATTTGATACGGCATCACAAAATTAGCTTGATTGGGCACGAATCTCGAGGCGAAAGCTAGT